GGGTCGCGCTGTGTGGTGGTGGTGGTGGTGGTGGTGGTGGTGGTTTGGTTTGGTGTTGGGGTGGGAGAGGGGGGGGAGGGGAGGGCTCACCTTGCCGCTCCGCCTCCTCCGCAAAGCCAGACACCAAGGCGCACGCGGCCTCCTCCTCCGCCACCGCGCCTGGCCCTCCGCCGCCATGGCCGCGACCCTCGCCCTCCCCGGAGGCGGAGGCGTCGCCGAGGGAGGGCTGGCTGAGGGAGGGCTGGCTGAGGGAGGCGGAGGCGTGCGTCGAGGCGCGGGCGGCAGAGTCGTAGTGGAGCGCGATGAGGGCGTAGGCTGTGGCGATGGCGAGCTCGTTCACGCGCCTGCCGGAAGAAGGGTGCGACACACTGCATGCGACGCAGAGCCCCCCCCCCCCCCTCCGCCCTTGCCCCCCCTCCGCCCACCGGGGTGCGTCCGCCCCGCCGGTGCGCAATCTCGGGCAATCTCCTGCAATCTCGGGCGATCTCGGGCGCAGGAGAGGGGGAGGAAGGCGTCGCGGGTCATGTCGAGATCTCGGGACTATCTCGGGATATCTCGGGCGATCGCGGGTGATCTCGATCTCGGCTGATCTCGGCTGATCTCGCGCCAGGTATGCACGAGGTCGCCAAAGTCGATCACGCCGAGCACCGCCGCACCACCGCAACCAGGCTCGCCACCGTTGTCGCCGCCCTCGCTCTCGCCCTCACCGCCGCCGCCGCCCTCACCGCCGCCGCCAGCCGGCCCGACGAGAACGTTTTGGTCGTTGACGTCTCCATGGATGACCTGGCGCGAGACGAGCCGAGATGAGCCCGAGACGAGCCGAGATGAGCCGAGATGGGCCGAGATGGGCCGAGAGGAGCCCGCGATGGCCCGAGAGGAGCCCGAGAGGACCGAGAGATGCGTCTCCGTGGTCGGCCTGGCGCGGCAGGCGGTCGGAGAGTGGCAGCACCGTCGACTCGAAGTCGCGGAGGGTGTCGGCGATCAGGGCCCGCCGCTCGGGTGCGAGGAGGGGGAGGAGGGGCCTACTCGGGCCCCCGGGTCAGACTCAGACACGCTCGGGCGGCGCTTCGGTCGGCCGCGGAGAGGCGGAGGAGAGGGCCGTATCGCGGCCGTCTGTGCGAGGTCCCAGATGAAGGTTCGGTGCGCCTCGGGGTGGTCGAAGGCAGAGAGGGCGCACGAGACGCGCGCGGTCACGCCGCCGAGCTCGCGCAGCAGCGCCGCACCAGGAAGCGCGGAGCCGAGCAGGCAGGCTGGCCGGTAGGGCAGGCAGCGGACAGCGTGCCTCCGCACTGAGCCGTCGGCGAGAGGCTGCTCGGCAAACGCGATCTGCCGGCCCTCGAGTGACGGGAGGGCGCGCGGGCACCAGACGCCGGCGGCGCGCACGAGCTCCATCGCCAGGTTCTGGCACTCGATGAAGCCGGGGGAGAGCGACTCAACCCCGTTGTGCACCTTGACGACAAAGTGGAAGCTGCCCGGCGGGTCGCCGCACGCGTGGCAGTCGGCCGCGGCTTTCAGCTCCGGGCGCGACGACGTCGCCTTGCAGTAGAAGTTGCGGTCGTCGTACGAATCAAGGTCGCGGACCGAACCGGTCAGTGGCTCGATGCCGAAGAGCGATCTGGCGAGCTCGATGCAGCGGGCGCTGTTCGCGACCGGCTTCTCGACCTTGCGTGACTCCTCGTCACCGAGAGGGTTGCTGTCTAGTGCCGTAGCGGCAGCATCGGCCAGCGACCGCGACATGCGCCTCGCCCACGCCAGGTACAGCCTGGCGCCCTGCGTCGCAGCAACCGCTGTGAAGACCCAGGCCTCCCTGCCTCGAGGTTCTCGAGGTGGATATCCTTTGGCCGCGTTGGGTAGCGAGGATTGGTGTAACCCGAGCCACGGAGGCGTGTTTTCTGACGGCCGACCGTCAGTGCACGGAGTTGCCCCTTCTCCGACTGCCCCGCCTGCTGCGCGGTGTGTGTGTGTGTGTGTGTGTGTGTGTGTGTGTGTGTGTGTGTGTGTGTGTGTGTGTGCTCGGTGTACGATGTTCACACCGAGCAGCTGGGAGTGGCTGCGGCTATGCAGACAGCCTGTCGCCACGAAAGAGTTTTACAACTCCAAGTACTCTCCTCTCGCACGACACTGGGCACGGGACTGGCGCGCACTGGCTGGCACTAACTAACACAGGTACACCACGGGAGCCGCCTAAGCGACTCCTGCGAGGACGGAGGCACTTAGCTCCGTGCACTCGACCGCCCCCGCCGCAGGCAAGCTCATTCACAATCTGCTCTGCGATGGCCGTGTGAAGAACGACTGAGATACGCTGCTTCTGCAGCTGTCGCGGGGGAAGGTGATTGCACCAGAGCCCCGAGGAGAATCGAGAAGGGAACCCGAGATTGGCCTCCGCCGCATTTAGATATTGTGTCCAGTGGTCGAATTGTGTCGGCGGGCCGAATGTCGTTTCACCTCTGTCGTTGGTCCTGGGAGCCGGGTCAGCGTGGTTGTGGGAGAGCCCTGCAATCGGCCTGCGCGTGTGTCGCGTGGGCCCGTGTCCATGAACAAAACTACCCATACAGCGAGCTCGTACGAAGCGAGTCCGCGGGTGGAAACCAACCCTCCAGTGGAGAGAGTAGCGCCCATGCCAGGGGACGCGCCTCCTCCTATTGGCCTCTTGCGAGGGGGGCCCTGGGGAAGCGCATCTTCCCTCAGACAAGGGAGATCGCTATGTCGACTTGGACGGCGCGTCCCACAAGCCCGAGAGGCGGGCGAACCACGCCGAGCTCATGGGGATGCAAGCGGAGATCAAGCGCCTCCGCGCGCAGATCCAGATCCTGCGGAGCAGGTCACGAGTGCAAAAACCCCGAGGCCCGAGGTCGAAACCTCGAGCAGGAGACAAGGATGCTCTTCGACACGATAGAGAGCGACACCGAGATCACCGCCATCAAGGCCACCCTGGGGACGTTGGGGACCCCGCCGCAAACCCCGTGCACCCCACCCCCAGCGGGCGAGTCATCCGGCCCCGCGCGGCCGAGCAATCAGCGCCTCCGAGCGCGGCCGCGCGCACCGCCGGTAGGAAGACCGGCGAGCCGCTCTACGCACTACGGCGCGGCGGCCCCCGGTGGCGGCGGTCGGCACCCCGAAGCCGACCCCCGCCGCGCGCCTTCCGCAACCCTCGGGCTTCAATGCCACCCATCCGGTACCCCGCCCCGCGACATCAGCCCTAGCCAATTCTTGGTGGTCCAAGTCACCTCATCGAGGTACTGGGCCCGCGTCAGCTTGTTCTGCAGCACATTCGCCGCCTTTCCAGAGGATCTCGCTGACCCCCTTCCCGAACCCACCGAACGACTCGAACAGCAGCAGCTGCACGTCGACGTCCTTGTCCTCCCTGGCGTAGCGATAGTCCCCGCTGTAGGACGGTATGCGGCGGTCGCCGCCCACCACCCTGCCCCCCCTAGTATGCCATCGACCCGTTCCCTGGGCCCCCTCTCGCCCTTGCTCTTCCTCTCCCCCTCCATGCCCTCGCCCCCATACCCCTCACACTCCCTCCCCCCCCCCTCCCTCCCCCCCCACCGCACCTCCCTCTCCCTCCTCGCAATAGGGCCCATGCCCCACGACCATGTTTCGGTAGAAAGAATTCGGCGTGCTGGGCGCCTTGCTTGCACATGCCCCGAGCCGGCGGCGGATGGAGGGGGAGAGGCGGAGCACTCGCAGCAGGCGCCACATCCATTCCAGGTGCAATTCTCTGACTGACCTGGCTCCTATTGCAATATCTCTCTCTGACCATGGCTTGCCCTTGACGGGCTTGCTTGTCTGCACAGTTACTTTCGCAGGAAGGACGTAGATGCCGCAGTCGATCGTTCGACCTGAGAGTACGCGCAGCGAGGCGGTGTGCACTGTGCGTTGTCCGTTGAGAGTGGCGGGAGTCGGGAGTCGGGAGTCGGGAGTCGGGAGGGCTTGCGTTGGATGCGGAGCGCGTCGGGGCGCGCGGCTGTATAGCTGCCAGCCCTGTTTGAGCAGGTCCTGTTTGAGAGGCTCTGTTGACAGCTGGGAGCCTCGATGTGGGCGAGCACAGCGCCACGCATCCTACTAAGGGAAGGCTCCGCGCTTTCATTCCGCCCGACGAAGTTTTTGACACAGATGCGAGCGCAGTGTGGCCAATCGCGAGTCACAGCCCGCACCTGTACCTGCTAGCGGCGGGCGCACTTCTTTCGGGAACAAGAGAGAAGCCCCCCCACACACACACACACACCGCCGCCGCCGCCGAACAACACAAGAGCGAGCGACAGAGAAGGAGGAGGAGGGCCGAATGGAAAGGATATATGCCGCAGAGGTGGTTGTGAGCGTGACGTCATCTCCTGTCTCGCGTCCACCCCATACCGCGTTGGTGGTTGTTCAATCCGGGAGCCTGACTGTTATTCACACCGTCGATCCATACACACAGAGACACACACGTAGACAGCAACCGAAGGCGTCGTCCTCTCACGCTGGAGCGGGAGCGCCGTGAAACGCGTCGACGCGCCGGTCGAGCTGCTCGACATCTTCCCGACGCTCTGCGAGATGAGCGACCTGCCGATCCCATCGCGAGTGCAGGGGCGGTCGCTGGTGCCGCTGATGGAGGGCCCGGTCGCTCGGGGCACACACGATGGCTCGATAAGTGCGTTCAAACGGACTGAGAGCGTCGGACGCCCCATGATTGGAGTTCAGCTGCCTGTCCCGCTCGCTTGGGGTTACAGCTACCGGACTAGTCGATACCGATTCATCCGATGGGCTGTCCCGAAGCGGTTCAAGGCTAGCACCACGTTTGTCGACCTCTTCGACCTCGAGACTGACCCCGGGGAGACGAGGAACATCGCCTCGCTGCCGTCGAGCGCAGCGCTGGTGGTTACGCTCAAAGCGGACGCGCCTCGTAGTAGCGTGAGATGCATGCTCTCGTAGCGTCCCCAACGCCTCGCCTCGCGCCCTCCGGGCAATCAGGCTAGACTCCCACCCTGAGCTTGCGCCCCATTGCCTGTCAGGTGCAGCAGCTATCGGTGGCGCTCCGCGCGGGGTGTCAGGGTTGCGACGCCCTGCACGCAGCGACAGCGTTGTAGTTTTCCGGTGACGGGTGCGGAGTTCCACGGCACTCGCCTCTCCACGTAGTAGTAGGCTCTTCGCCATGCTCGCATGCACATGTACATGTACATGTGTGACGTACTTGACTCCACTGACCCTCTCGGGGCCGCCTTACAGGGTGTAATACTCTCCCCCCTGGCTGGTCCATCGCGAACCCACTATGATTATCGGAAGCTCTCCTCCAGCAGCAGAGATGTGGGTGTCTTCCGACAAATCAAGCAGCCCGACCGCCGCGAAGCGGGATGATAGCGAGAGGTGTACTCCGCGAGGTTGAGCGCTGCACGCGGTACTCGGCGGTGTCGCAGCGTCGAGCAACACTCGGTGTCAGAGCGTCGCGCCAAATCAGTAGTCTCATCGCCGAGTGATTGCTGGCCTGTGGCGTATGACCTCGCGCGGATATCACCAACAACGAGCATGCGAAGATAGGGAACCATATCTGATGGACTTGTACCGCCCGCTGTGCTCTCCGCTGTGCCACAGCTGCGAGAGCCGTATCTTCCCTGCTCCTTGAAGCAGAGGCGCCGCGAGGAAGGAGAGGCGTAGAAGAGAGGCTGGCGTGCCCCGCACCGCCCGGCTGGCAATAGGAGGGCCCGCCGGTGAGACCACTGATTTTGGTGCCGACCATAAATTCTCGCCACTGGAACGCATGCTACCATCTTACAGCTGCTGTCTGCACAGAGATGCCAGCACCCCCCACAGGCAGAGCTCTGCTGCTGGGGGGGGGTCGGCCATGGGCTAAGCGGTGTGCAGGGCCAAGGGGGGTAGCGGGTACCGAGCAGTGTGCGGCCGCTCTAGACGTGCGCAGCACTTTATTGTGATTGTGATCTGTGGGGAGAGCGCTGTGTGCGCGCGCGCACGTCACCGCCCCCGGCGAGCGGCGTCCCCGGCGCAAAGAAATATAGAGGGCCGTAAGAAACACGGCGGACGCGGGCGCGGCCGTCGCGTTCTCGAGACTCTCCTACGAGACGCGCTCGGAGAGAGACCTTCACGAGCGCTGAGGCGATAAATTCTTCTCACTCTACCTCTGCCGCCTTTCGGCCTCGTGACGCAACCTCTCTTCTCCCCGCAGACCCCACGCCCTGCCCGGGCCGCTCCTCGCTCAACAGATCCCTGCTGAGCAGCGCCCTGCCTCTCTCTCTCTTCTGCTGCATGCCCCTCTCGCACACCGGCGGCGGCCGTGGCGGCAGCGGCGGCGGCGGCGGCATCGGAGTCGAAGTGCTGGCGTCGGCGCCACCTGCGGGCGGACGGCGAGCGGGCTGAGAGGGGGCAAGGGGGCAGGGACAGAACGGAGGCTGAGGCGGAGTCACAATCTCGGCACAATCTCGGAAGGGGGGGGTCGCCGCCATCGCCGTCGCCGTCGCCGCCGCCGTCGCCGTCGCCGTCGCCGCCGCCGCCGTTGCGCGCCGGGCCGGCCTCCTTGTCCGCGCCGCCAGCCTGCGGGCACAGAAGCGGGGTCCGGCTGGGAGAACTGGGGGCCTCTAGCGATGCGGCGCGGGCAGTCTTGCGCGCCGCGGCCAGAGACGCTCTCTCGAACTTGGCCTCCATGAGCCTGATCTGCGCCTTGCCGTCGTCGCTGTTCATCACCTCCTCCGGCACTCCCGCGGCAAGCAGCTGCGCCTGGATCGACCGCCGCCGCTCCAACTTGGCCGCCGCCTGCCTCTGTGCCGCCGCCTGCCTCTGACCGCCGAGGTTGTGTGCGGCGACGCGGCGGAGGTCGCCGACAAAGAACTGGGCGACGTTCATCCGAAAGTCGGGGAGGATGCCCTCGTTGTCCGCGGTGTCGCCGTACGCGAAGCAGACCAGGCACCCCTTTGCGCACGACGCCTCGTCGCGCCTGCGCGCCATGCTCCTCACCTCTTGCTTGGTCGCCATGGCGAGCTGCTTCGTCCACGCGCTGGCGTACAGGAACGGGTGCTTGGTGAGCGCGCTGCGCATCCCCTCCAGGTCGACGGCGATCCCCTTGGAGAAGACTGCCGCGACGTCCAGCGTGTTCAGCTTTTCGCCGCGTGGCACGCGCACGTCGAGCAGGAAGAGGTCGTTAGCTCGGTCGAGCCGAGCCACGGCGGCGTCCAGCAGGGGCGCGACCGTTTGCCAGTGGTTGAGAAGCCAGAGGAGCAGCGGCTGGTTCTCCGGAGAGTTGAAGCCCGTCATCGACGAGACTGCCGCAGGGCCTGTTTGGTTTCACAGGGGTTTCCAACAAGCGGCCCCCACTTCACGCACACTGCGCAAAAGGCCACACCAACCAACCAACTGTTTCCGGGCCCGAGTGCGCGAAGTGCGGGACCAGCCAACCAGTCCCCCCCCCCCCACCCCGCCCCTCTCTCTGTGAAAGCACGACGATATCTCTCGGAAGTGTCGCGCCAGCGCGAGTGGCTCGGAGCTAAAAGGCCGGGCGCCCACGATGCCAGTGCTTTGCGATCGTGGCGGGGTGCACAAGCTGCAGGCGGCCTTTGCGACGGCGGAGCTGGCGCGAAAGGCGAAGCTCGAGAAGATGCAGGCGGCGTGGTGCGCGCGCGAGGCCGACATCGACGCACGCCTCAAGGACGCAAACGACGTGCTCGCACGCACGCTGCCGGCGGACCGCGAGGCGGCGCAGATGTCGGTGGACGTGATCGAGGAGGAGCGGCGCAATTTCTATACGGCGCGGTTCCGGCGCGGAGGACCGCAGAGGACCAGCTCGAGGAGGCGCGGCGGACCGCGAAGCGCAAGCACGACGCCGAGGTGGAGGAGCAGCGTGTCCACAACCGAGACATCAAGGGCAAGGTGCGCAAGAAGTTTAAGGCGGCACTCGCGGTGACGGCGGCTCGCGACTCCATTGCCGAGAGGGCTAAGGCAACAGCGAAGGCAGCAATTGCCTCGGTGCTTGCCGCGTATAAGGACAAGGCGGCTGTGTAAAAACGCGTATGTGTGTAATAGACAATATGTGTGCGGAGAGTGCGGGACCAACCAACCAACATCTGGAGGCCTGGAGTGCGCAGAGTGGGGGACCAACCAACCAACCCAGGGCCCGGAGAGTGCGTGAAGTGGGCTGGCAGCTTGGTCAAACCCTCGGGTGCAGATGCGACATGAGGGCTAAAATCCGGAATATAGACTGCCAAGAGGGTGCTCTAGGCCGCGAAGACACCGCACACGGTCTCCCTACTCATGCGCGGCTGGCAGGAGGGTGCCAAAAACGTGGTCTTGACTCTTGTGTCCGACTTGCACTTGGTGGTTGTGGGGTGATGTAGCGATGGGTGTGGGTCTCCAGTGACCTATACAGCTCCGCCGCGCCGTGCTCCGTCTCCTGACAGTCCGCCTCTCACACCCTCACTGTCTGCGATGTGCGCGCTTCTTGATCTTGTTTCTTATCCCTATCTATGAAATCCCCACACCTACTCGAGTCCTTGGGGACCCGCTGGGATGCCCAGGGACGACGGCAAGAAACCAAGAGGGTGAACCTGTGAAGAGCGCGGCCAGTGTGTGTGTGTGAGTGTGTGTGCGGTCACAGGGCCCGCTCGTCCACGCGCCGCCCGCGCCTTTCGCCGCTCCTGTAATACTAACGAATGGCCGTAGTCGAGGACCGAGATTACTTCTGATCACCCGAGATTACCCGAGATTACCCGAGATTACTAATAATGTGTGTGTGTGCGCGCGCGCTTCCGTGTGTGTGTGTGTGTGTGTGTGTGTGTGTGTGTGTGTGTGTGTGTGTGTGTGTGTGTGTGTGTGTGTGTGTGTGTGCGTTTGTGTGTGTGTATGTGAGTGTGTGTGTACCGACTACGCAAGATCCAATATTACCCGAGATGACCCGAGATGACCCGGCGTTACCCGAGATAACCCGAGATAATTAACCAATATTACCCGTGATCACCCGATATCACCCTAGATTACCCTAGATTACCCGAAAACACCCGAGATCACCCGAGATTATCCGAGATCACTAAATCGGTGTGTGTGTGTGTGTGTCCGCTCTTGACTTTTCAGGTACACCGGGCCAAAAGAAAGCCGACCGCGTCTCGAGGCTCGCGCCAACAAGCGTTGCAGGCAGTGCAACGCTCTCGGCCCTCCTCCGCGCTCCCCGCCCTAGTCTGCGCCATTTTGTGCGGCTGGCCCTCTGTTTCGCCGAACACCTCGGCCGACACCACCTCGGCCGACACCACCTCGCCGACCTGCTCGGCACGGAGAGACGGCTGATCCCTCTGCTTCGCCCGCTCGCACTCGCAGAGAAGCCTGCATCTCAGCCATGATGGGCCCTTCGCTTGGACCGGTGAACCTCTTCGGAGAGGGCTCGCAGGAGGCCAAGGGCGAGCAAGCCCGCATGGTGCGCACAGTCGCCTCTACTCCTCCCACTCTCACGCCACTCGCCCGCCGCCTGCCGCCTTGCCGCCCGCCAAGGCTCTCACGTCGAGGTGGCTCGCGTGGGCGGGCCGGCCTGGCCTCACGTCCTCTCCCGACGACCCGCGCTCCTCCCGCCCGTCCCGGCGACCCCCGCCGTCTGCCCACCCCTCTCTGCCTTCTCCCGCCGCCTGCACATCTCCTGCCTACGTCTCCTGCCTCCTGCCCCCGCCGCCACGCCTCTGTTCTCGCCTCGCTGCGCACGCGTGTGGGCCATCTCTGCCCTCGCCTCGCCTCGCACGCCTCCTGCGCACGCCTCGTCTCGCCGTCCTCCAAATCTCCCCCCATATCTCCCCCTCGCAGTCCTCCATCGTCGGGGCGCTCGCCATCGCCGACCTTGTCAAGACGTCGCTCGGTCCGAAAGGGATGGACAAGATCCTGCAGTCGCACTCGCGCGGCGGGTCGGTCTCGGTCACAAACGACGGCGCGACGATCCTCAAGTCGGTGCTCATCGACAACCCCGCCGCAAAGGTGCTCATCGACATCTCAAAGGTGCAGGATGTCCAGGACACGCCCATGACATGTCCGGGACATGTCTCTAGGTGCTCATCGACATCTCAAAGGTGCAGGACGACGAGGTCGGCGACGGGACCACCTCAGTCTGCGTGCTGGCGGGGGAGCTGCTCCGCCAGGCGGCCGAGCTCATCGAGAAGAAGATGCACCCGCAGGCAGCCCCCCCCCCCCCCCCTTCCCCCCTCCCCCCTCCCCCCGCCCCCGCCCCCCGCCCGCCTCGTCGAGCGGCGCCACGACATCTCCACGACATCTCCACGACATCTCCACGACATCTCCACGACATCTCCACGACATCTCCACGACATCTCCACGACATCTCCACGACACGTGTCCCTCGGCACGTCCCTCGACAGGTCGTCATCGGAGGCTACCGGCTCGCGAGGGACGCTGCCCTCAAGGCGCTGCGCGCCGCGGCGATCGACCACTCGGACGACGAGGCGGGAGATATGGGGAGATATGGGGAGATACGGGGAGATACGGGGAGATATGGGGAGATACGATCGACCACTCGGACGACGAGGCGTGCCGCGCGGGATCCTTGCGGCAAGGGGAGGGGGGGGGGGAGGGGCGAGGTCTCGTGACTCTCCGTCTCTGCGTGTGCTGCAGGCTGCCTTCCGGCAAGACCTCCTCAACATCGCGATGACAACTCTCTCGTCCAAGGTGCTCTCTCAGGACAAGGAGCACTTCGCCGCCATCGCCGTCGACGCGGTGATGAAGCTGCGAGGCTCGACCAACCTCGACCAGATCCAAATCATCAAGCGGATAGGAGGCACGCTCCACCACGACCCGCCCCTCGGCCCGCACCTTCTCGGCCATGTCTCTCGGCCATGTCTCTCGGCCATGCTCTTGGCCGCATCTCGGCTGCACCTCGGCTGCACCTCGGCCGCACCTCGGCCGCACCTCGGCCGCACCTCGGCCGCACCTCGGCCATGTCTCGGCCGCACCTCGGCCGCACCTCGGCCGCACCTCGGCCGCACCTCGGCCATGTCTCGGCCGCACCTCGGCCGCACCTCGGCCGCACCTCGGCCATGTCTCGGCTGCAGGCACGCTCAAGGACTCCCGTCCCTCGACCCCGACGGCTTCCCATCTCCCCCTCCCTCCCCCTCCCTCCCCCTCTCCCAGGCACGCTCAAGGACTCGTACCTCGACCCCGACGGCTTCCTGCTCGACAAGAAGATCAATTAATATTTAATTAGTAGTTAATTATAGTAATTAATTATAGGCTTCCTGCTCGACAAGAAGATCGGCGTCGGCTGCCCCAAGCGGATGCGCGACTGCAAGGTGATGATTGCCAACTCGCCGATGGACACGGACAAAGTCAAGATCTACGGCTCCAAGGTCAAGGTGGACTCCGTCTCCAAGGTCGCGGAGATCGAGGCGGCCGAGAAGAAGAAGATGCTCGACAAGGTGTGGACAGGGTCCTCGCCCCCTCTCTCCCCACTCTCTCCCCACCTCTCCCCACTCTCTCGCCCAGGTGGACAAGATACTCGCCCACGGGTGCAACGTCTTCATCAACCGGTGCAGCTGTAGCACAGAGAGGGCGGGGGGTGTAGCCGAGAGGCGAGACGTCTCTTCACCGGCGGCTACAGCCCGCTCCTCGCTTCTGGCGGCGCCTTCTGCCTTCAGAGTGGCCACTCGCTCCTTCCCCCGACGAGAGCAGGCAGCTCATCTACAACCTCCATATCTCCCCATATCTCCCCCCACAGGCAGCTCATCTACAACCTGCCCGAGCAGCGCTTCGCCGACGCGGGAGTCATGTCGATCGAGCACTCGGACTTTGACGGCACCGCGAGGACCTTTCCTAGACCTTTCCTGGAACCTTCCTGTAGGTCGATCGAGCACTCGGACTTTGACGGCACCGAGCGGCTCGCGCTCGTGCTCGACGGCGACATCGTCTCGACCTTCGACACGCCCGAGCGCGTCAAGCTCGGCTCGTGCGCCCAGAAGCGGAAGACGGGCTCTTGTCTCCCAACCAGCGCTCGAGAGGACACGCACTCAGCCGTATTCGGCCGTACTCCGCTGTATTCACTGTCTCCCTCTCCGTTGTACTCACGCGGTGCTCTGAACACACTGCACAATATTGTCTTCCCGCCCTGAGGTCGGCGTATTCAGCGCGTAGGTTCGTGCGAGCTCATCGAGGAAGTGATGATTGGGGAGGACAAGCTGGTCCGCTTCTCTGGCTGCCCAAACTCACAGGCTTCGTCGATCGTGCTGCGCGGCGCCAACACGCACGTGGTGGACGAGGCGCACTGTTAATTAACTATAATTAACTACTAATTAAATATTAATTGATCTGGTGGTGGACGAGGCGCACCGCTCGCTGCACGACGCGCTCTGCGTCCTCTCGCAGACGGTCAAGAACACGGCCGTGCTGCCGCTGTGAAGAGACGCTGCTCACACCTGCAGGGTGTGAACAGGTCAAGAATACGGCCGTGCTGCCGGGCGGAGGCGCGCCAGAGATGCTGATGGCGCAGGCGGTGGAGGAGGAGTCGAAGCGGGTCGCCTCGAAGCACGTCGTTGCGATGGAGGCGTACGCAAAGGCGCTGCGCACGATGCCGATGCACATCGCGGACAACGCGGGCTACGACTCGACTGAGCTGTGCGCCGGCCTCAAGGCGAGCCACCGAGAAGGGGGGGGGGGGGGGTGCAGCGCACCTTCCGGCGTCTCTTCACGGCTGGACCTGTGTGAGGAGCAGGCGAAGCACCACGAGGGGCGCCACACGTGGGGCCTCGAGATGGACCGCGGCGGGCTGGGCGACATGGTTGCCCTCGGCATCTGCGAGTCGCTGCAGGCCTGGGCGGGGGCACAGCTCATCTCGGCTCAATCTCGGCTCAATCGCGGCTCAATCTCGGCACGTCTCCCGCCGCAGGTCAAGGAGCAGGTGCTCCTCTCCTCCTCCGAGGCGGCCGAGATGATCCTGCGCGTCGACGATATCGTGCAGTGCGCGCCGCGCCAACGGCAGCAGTGAGGCCGCACAGCGATCCGCCGGTGCATGGCGGGGCGTGCAGCTGTCGTTCGGGCGCAGCGGCTCGCTGTGTCGCTCCCGAGTGATCGCCGCGTGCCGCCCCCTAATACAGTAGAGCACCCCCTTTCGCGCCCCCGATCTCACACTCTTTGGATTTGGTTCGCGTGGTTGCTGCTTGAAGTTGTGTTCCGCGCATTGTCCCCGTCTGTACGATCAATGATGTCTTACATAAACCGCCAAGGCAGCGAGCAGCAGCAGGGCCACACGAGACACGTGCACGGACAGCAGCAGACGGGCGAGACGCCGCGCGGGAGGCTCTCAGTGACAGTGTGTGACTAGACTCTAGAGATCTAACCTCCCGAGTGTTGCACCCCACTCACAGTTATATTGTTATGGTGTTATATGGCTCTCGGGGCATAGCAGCCCATAACATGTGTACATGTTATGGGTGTTATATGGGTGTCCTATGGGTGTTATGCTTATGGGGCCGGCCACATAACACCCATAACATGTTATGGGCTGCTATGAGAGAGCCGTCCCGGATCTCCACGCTCCACGGTGTTATGGTCCGAGAGGCCACACCGAACTGCTCGCCGCTGGAATTTTCGCCTTGCGCGCTGCCGCGCGCGAGGTTTCGGCATCGATCGCCAACTATTTTCTCTTTTGCCCTCTCGGATCTCAGAGCACAGCGAGTTGTACGTCGGGGCGGGAGTGAACCAGCCGCGAGAACGCCTAGCCTAGGCGTGGAGGCCCGCGGCTCCTCGGAAGCTCCGACCTTCGCCCGCACGCCTTCCTGCCGCGAGGACCCTGCCTGCTGGCTCCTCCGCTTGTGGGCCTGCAGCCCTCTGCCCGGAGCACGTGGGCGACGTGGCGGGGTACGATTTTCGCGGCGGCCCCGACGGGACCGGCTACTACCGCCGGCCGGACGCGCCGCCGCCGGACGGGCGCGAGTACTCGCGCATGGTGCTGCAGCGGGCGAGCGCGGCGGGCGCCGAGTTTGTCGCGTGCCCGGAGCGCGTGATGGACCTGCCCGGCTACGAGTTCCGGCTGGTTGGGTCGGAGGGCGTGGGCTACTACAAGGCGGAGGCGGAGGCGGAGGATGCGCCCGACTACAACGACTTTATGGCGACGATGAAGGAGCTGGGCGCGGTGAGCTAGCGCTGCCGACACAGGGACTTCACCGCACTCGCACACGGGCGTGTTGTGTCACGGCTAAAAATACGCGCTAGCAGCCTCTAGCCGCTGAATTCCCATTTTAAAACCTTCGCGTTCCGGACGCTTGAGCAGACAGGACACGCCCACTGTGACTCTTCCATGCTGCATGCACACTCGCTCGCGCCCCTCTCCCCGGTGCGCACCATGTGTACGTGCGTTCACGACACACAGTCGCGCTTAAGTTCGTCGTCTCCGCCCCCTGCCCAACCAAGCCTCCACAGCGCAAGTCCCGTCGGTCGACGCCTGCCTGTACGAGGGCGGGAGGGCGGGGCGTGAGCAAGGGCAATCTCGCGCGCGCGGGTGGTGAGGATCGTGGAGGGAGAGTGGAGGCAGCGGCGGACCGTGCTGGTGCCGACGCCGCGGTACTGGAATCTTACATGCGGTTGACGACGGGGGCGTTGCTCGCTAGGCCGCGCTTGCGCATGCCGTTCAGCTCGATCTCCAGCGCCTTGATGCGCTCGTCGCGCGCCTGGATCGCCTTTCGGAAGTGCGCCTCGCGCGCCTGGATCGCCTTTCGGAAGTGCGCCTCGCGCGCCTTGACCGACTCTCGCCAGCGCTTGTCGCACGCCTCGACCTCCTGCTCCACAGTCGCGCGATACGACGCCGGGATGGTGGCCAGCGTGTCCACGCACTTCGCCACCGCCTGGATGTCGGCGGCGTGGCACTCCTCCACCGCCTCGACGGTGTCGACGCGCGTGTTCAGCTCCGTCAGCTTCTCCTCGAGGATGCGCGTGTTCTGCTCCGCCGCAGCAAGCTCCGCCGAGACCGCCGCCTGATCGATCTCTGCGGCCTCTGCCATCTCCTTGGCCTCGGAGGCCGCCTTGACCGCGGTGGTCGCCTCGGCGCGCGCCCGCTGGACCTCGTCCATTGCCTTGAGGTGCTGCTCGTGCGCCTCCGTGACCATGGCGTAGTGCTTCTCGTCGAGCACCTTGTCAAGCGCCTCTGCCGCCGCCAGCACCTCCGTCTGGGACTGCACCGCCCCCTGCATCGCGCGCGACGCGATCTCGCGGGTCTCCGCCTCGTCTGCCTGCGCCTTTGTAAGGTTCGCGATGAGGCTCTCGAGGCGCTCGCGCAGCTCGACCTCGACGGCCTTGGACGCCTGCATCTCGGCCTGCACCTTGGAGCGGTAGTACATGATGCGGCGCCCAGCAAGCATGCTCTATCATGCGTCGCCCCGCAGTGGCCGAGCCGACCGCCGCTCGAACTGGCGCCGAGTGGCTCCCAGATCGAGCACGGCAGGCTCAGCCCCGTGCCCGGTGGGATCCCCGGTGGCAAAATTCTCAAAGAAAGAAAACAGAGAACGCAGGGGAGGGATGGGAGGACGGTATGCCGCCACCACACACGGATTTTACAAAAATTATTTTTTCTCCAATTCTTTTTCAACGACACAGCTCACAGGCGAGCGGGCGCCGTGCTGCTGCTACCCTCTGCGCCTTCTCGGCCGCCGTACCACACATCCCTCGCCATCCCCGCCCACACACTCACCCCACCTCTCTTCTCGCGGCACAGTCGCGAGACGAGCCATCATCAAGGTAGGCGAAATGCCGCCCATGTACACTGCTGTCGCCGGTTTCATTGCGCCCATCACGCTGCTTTACACCTACATTATCCGAGCTTCCTGTCCACCAAGTGTAGGCGCTGTCGCCGCACTCTTCGTGGCGGTTGGGATCCTGCGCCGCGGGGGGAGCCACTGAACATGACCGAGGGTAGCAGGAGACCGGGTCTTCCCACACCAGCGCCCACACACGGCACACACGGGCGAAGAGCTCACAACATGCGCTATATTACCGTATTTTTACGTCGTGTCGTCGACACAATATAAAGATACCAAACCAGCTGCACACAGTCCCGGATCCTCTCCACACACGCCCGCTGCTACCTCGGGTTTATGCCGGGAAGGCGAAACCGGCCGTTGTCGTCGACGCCGATGGTGTCGCGCAGATCGACCTTGACCAGCTCCGCGCCTACGTGCGCACCCGAGGCCCACTGAGCCCGCCACCTGGCGCGGCCCGTCGCTAACCCGCGCGCACGGCTCGCCAAGCCAAGTGTGCGCCCAACGGTGGTCCGCAAAGGAGCGCTCCAACACGCTCACAACACCCGCCTACACTCAGGGTAGCGGATCCGGCCCTCAGCCGTGCCCCGCGCTGCGCCGCTCTCGCCGCTCCCGCCGCCTGCGCGTCCGGCGGCGGCGGCGGCGCGGCGGCGGCGAAGTTTCGCATCGCGAGGCGCGAGCAGACGGCGGCAGCTGCGGCGTGGAGGTGTGGCGCGAGCCAGCCGAAGCGCAGAGGGAGGGGCTGCGTCTCCGGGGCCGAGCACTTGTCGCGGAGCGAGCCTTGCTGCATCGGGTCGTAGGAGGGGAAGAAGGCGCCTGAAAAGGGGGGGGGGGGGGGCCAAAGGTTTCCCGCTCCCCCCCCGGAAAAGAGGGGGTGGGCCCCCCCGACCTAAAGGTATTTCTCCCTGTGTCCCTGCCGCTTTGGGGGGGTGTTTTTTTTTGGGGGGGGGGTTCCTTCCCCCCCCCGGGGGGAGGACCGCCCCCCCCCAAGAAAAACCCCCGGGGTTTGCCCCGTCCTCCGGCGGCGTCGCGGCCAAGGCGAAGGGCGAGTCGCTCGCTTGCAGCCCGCGCACCCAGCCCTGCAATCGGGAGAGTGGCGGCGGCGGCCGCGGCGGCCGTGGCGGCGGCGGCGGCGGGAAACGGCGGCGGGAGGAACGAGGATCGGTTCGCTCCTTGCTCGCGGCGGCCAGCTGGCCGAGAGTGGCGAGGCTCGAGTTAGAGCGGAGAGCGGGTGTTAGAGCGGAGGAGGAAGAGGAGACTTCCCACTGCGGCGACACCATCTGCCGCGGCGCAGCCTGCAGCAAGGTACGGAGAAGGCTCGTGGACAGCCCTTGCCCTTGCTCTGCGCAAGTAGAGGGCACGCCGCCGCGAGCCTGCGGCGGCGGCGGAGTCCGCGCAGGAGCCCTCGCGGGGCGAACGAGCCTACAGGGGCAAGGTGTCGAGACGGCTCATGCACAGGGAAGGCGGCTGGCGGGCCTCGTCGTCCTCGCGCGGCGGCCGAGGGTCCAGGCGGCGGAGGCGAGAGGAGGCCGCCTACAGGAAGGTTCGAGGAAGGCTCCGAGAAGGCTCCGCGCCGAGGGCGGCGGAGGCGAGAGGAGGCCGCCCTAGCCGCAGCGGCGTGCCACCGGACAACGGCAGCCTCGAGCATGCGTGGGCCGGTGAGGTAGACCTGCAGGAAGGCTCCAGGAAGGGTCCGAGAAGGGTCCGAGAAGAGCATGGGGCAAGTGGAGGTCGACCGGGTCGTCGCCCCCGCCGCGCAGGAAGCGGGCCGCGACCTCGTCGAGCGCGACGAGCCAGAAGGGGTGCCCCGCCTCCGAGACGAGGAGGGCGTTGCAGACCTGCCTCGCCACCCCCTCGACGAGCACCTGAAGACATGTCTCGGACATGTCATCGACGCGTCCATGTCCTGGACGTGTCCTCGCCCACCCCCTCGACGAGCACCGCGTGCTCGAGCGGCTCTTGCCCAAGGAGCACGCAGCTCCGCCCGCCCCCGCCGCCTCGTGCTCCACCGCCGCCGCCGCCGCCTCCTCCTCCTCCTCCTGCGCCGCCGCCGCCTCCGCCTCCGTCGCCGCCTCCGTCGCCGAATGGCACTGCGCCGCTGGCCGCCGCCTCGAGCAGCGGGTCCAGCGGCTCGAGGCGGCACACGTCCAGGTCGGCGTACACGCCTAGACCAAGCCTTGCACAGAAGTGTTGCTCGCGGCGTCCCGAGCACGGCGGGCGTCGGGTTCCCGCGGCGCGCGCCTCCCCACTTGTGCATGTAGAGGAGGCGCGCGATGTCGGCCTGCGCGACGGGCGGGAGCGACATGTACAGCGACAACAGCGCGGGGTAGGACCCGTTGACGAGCTCCAAGTTGTCAGCGTCCGTGTGCAGCCGCCACTCCCAACCGGACTTGACCCACGTCTGCACGCAGTCGGCGAGGCCGCGAGGCAGCTGGCGGGACATCCACGTCTGGTGCACGACGCGGGGTATCCGCGCCGCGTACGTGGCGCCGCTCACGCGGCGCCGGTGCTCCAGCATGGTCGGCGCCGGGCGGCGAACCGGCTCCGGCTTGCTGGCGGCGTGAAGCATCGTCAGCGTCACCACCGCAACGCCGAGGAGACGACACACCTTGGTGACGCGATCGCTCCCTCGGAGGCCCATTGCTGAGCGCGCCCAGCGCGCGGCAGCGCGGCGCGCGATGATGACCGGGCAGCAGCGCCAGAGCAGCGCTGGCTGCGCGAATATCTTTTTCCGCTGGTTTTTCTTTTTAGTAAGACTCCGTCAAACGGACGACTGTTCTTCACCTTCCTACAGACATACATACAAGACTCGCAAGGCGCGCGAACACACACAAACTCGCGACTACAGAAGCCTCTGGAGTAGCCTCTCTCTGCCAAGAGCCTCTTCGCACGGCGGCACGCACAAGAGCCAAGGCACGCACAAGAGCCAACGCAGCCACACACATGATCTCACCGGTCCTCTCCCGCCTCCATAGCGGCCGCGGCCTCCTCCGCGCCGCCGCCGCGGCTTTCGCCACCACCGCCGCCGCCGCGCCCACCCTCGGGCTCGCCCCGCCGTGACGCCGAGCCAAATCCTCTCCTCGTTGAGCCCGCGGCGGAAGCCGGGCCACCCCCTCCTTGTCCAACTGCGCGGGCTTTCTCACGGCGCCGGCGACCACGCCTCGACCTTCTTGGGCAGCAGCTGGGTCGACAGGTCCTCTCCGTGGCCAAGGCAGCCGCTCTCGCCCTTGCCCCAAGCATGAACAGCGTCGTCGGCGGTGATGGCGAGGCTGTGGTCGAGTCCAGCCAACACAGCGACGACGCGCTGGCCAGCCAAGGCCTCGATCTTCTTGGGCAGCAGCTGGTTCTGCTCGTCACCGTGGCCCGACTTGCCCGACAATCCACTGCCCCAGCTCCAGACGCTGCTGTCCGCGGTGAGGGCGAGGCTGTGTTCGCCTCCCGCCGACACAGCGACGAGGCGCCGCCCAGCGAACGCCTCAACCTTCTTTGGCAGTAGCTGCTGCTGCCAGTGGCCGTGGCCCAGCTGGCCAGAGTATCCATGGCCCCAGCTCCAAGCAGAGCCGTCGGCGGTGATGGCGAGGCTGTGGAAGTCTCCAGCCGAGACAGCGACGACGCGCCGCTCAGCGAAGGCCTCGACCTTCTTCGGCAGCAGCTGACAATTCCGCGACTCGCCGTGGCCAAGCTGGCCTTCGCCTCCAGAGCCCCAGCTCCAGACGCCGCCGTCGATGGTAAGGGCGATGCTGTGGTGAAGTCCAGCCGAGACAGCGACAACTTGATGGCCAGCCAAGGCCTCGATCTTCTCGGGCAGCAGCGTGTTCTGATAGTCGCCGTGGCCCAGCCGGCCGTAGACTCCGCGGCCCCAGCTCCAGACACTGCCGTCGGCGGTGACGGCGAGGCTGTGCATGCCTCCAGCCGACACAGCGATGACGCGCCGCCCCGCCAAGGCCTCGATCCTCTTCGGCAGCAGCTGCGTCTCGTGGTCGCCGTGGCCCAACTTGCCAAAAACTCCACCGCCCCAACTCCAGACGGCGCCGTCGGCGGTGAGGGCGAGGCTGTGGCCATCTCCAGCCGACACGCTCACGGCGCGCTCGTCACCCAGCGTTGACGGGAGGCGGGTCGGCGTGTTGAGCCGCGTCACGCCCTCGCCGTGGCCGAGAAGGCCTGGTAATTCCTCCTCGTCCTCCTCCTCCTCCTCCTCCCCCTCCGTTGCCGCTGACCCGCACGACGAGAGCTGCCCCTTGCCGTCGATGAAGACGCTGTGCCGTTCGCCTGCGGACACCCTCGCCGGCGGGTTGGCCTTGCGCAGGAGCGCGGCGAAGCACAGCCACCGCACGGCGCAGCTCTCGCCCTCCGGCTGCGGCGGCAGCTCGAAGCCGCGCTCTTGCGCCCACAAGCGGATGCCCTGCTCCGCTAGCGAGGCGTGGAAGAGCAGCGAGACGGCCGCGGCGCGAGCGATGTCGGCGGGGCTGTCGAAGCGGGAGAGGGCGCGCTCGAGGAGCTCCCTGGGGAGGTCGAGGAGCCGGGCGGGCGGCGGCGCGACTGGCGAGGGGGCGGCGGCGGCGGCGGAGGCGAGGGTGCGCGAGCGGCGGCGCGGCGGGTGGACATCGCGAAGAAAAGAAATTTTCTACGCGGGAAAGAAGAAAACCCATCTTGTAAAGAAAGAAAGAAAGAAAACACACAACCCAAGGGAGGGATGGGAGAACGGCACGCCGCCACCACACAGGGATTTTAAGGTGGCAGTCCGGGTTTTGCGAGACGGGTGTCGTCTCGCAAGATGGCATCACGCTCGCACCTGCCGACCGCCGCCACGGCGGCGAGACGCCTTATCCGCCACCGCGGCGCCGGCCACAGGCCAGCGCTAGGCAGCTGCCGGCCACACTGGGCCGGATTTGCCGGTAACCGTCGCCGCACACTCCTACGTCCACGCCGCTGTGACGTCTGGCGACGAGGCGCCGGCCGCCAAGCTTCATCGCCAACGTGGTCGCTCGCTGGTCCTCTCGGCTCGGCCACGCGTCGGCCCAGCTCACACGAGCTCCAGACAGCCACCAGTCGCCACGCGCAAAGCGTACGGGTCGCCGGCTCCCTGTTGTGCTCTCACGCTGGCCGGCGTAAAACTGTACTGGCAGTTGTCATGCCGTACCCGTCGCGTTTCGAAAGGGAGCCCTCAATCGACGCGTCTACACGCACCGTGCCACCGCTCTCCACAACTGCTACCGTGGACATCAAGCTCCTCGACTCGATCTGCGGCTACGACGGCGCTCTAGCTGCTGGCTCTCGCGGGTGTCTGGCGACCCGCTCAGGCTTGCGAAACGGCCGGCCGCGGCGACGTGTTTCGAGCTCGCTGGCCTTCTCCGCGCGGCTGGGCCCGCCCCTAGTCGGGGCCGACCCGCCCAGTCACTGGGCAGCGCGTGCGCCGGCGTTCTGGACGACGGTGTGCCGATGCATCCGGGAGGCTCCGCGGGGCTGCTCTAGCAGCCTCGGGAGGGTCGAAAATCGAAGCCGGAGCGGCGGACCACGGAAGCTCCACGGACGGTGAGGCGGGCTGTGGTTGGCCCCCCCTGACCGGGCGAGGGAGTGGCGCCCCGGGAGTGCCGCTCCGGCGACGTCTGTGGCCTCCACGGTACCGTGACCGCGGTGCTCGCTCTCGCGGCCGTCTCACGACCCGCTCGAGACGAAAACCGGAGCGGACGGTGCGACGAACCGCGAGTGGGATGGTCTTCTCCGCGCGGCTGGGCCCGCCCCTAGTCGGGGCCGACCCGCCCAGTCACTGGGCAGCGCGTGCAGAGGCGTTCTGGACGACGGTGTGCTGGTGCATCCGGGAGGCTCCGCGGGGCTGCTCTAGCAGCCTCGGGAGGGTCGAAAATCGAAGCCGAAGCGGCGGACCACGGAAGCTCCACGGACGGTGAGGCGGGCTGTGGTTGGCCCCCCCTGACCGGGTGAGGGAGTGGCGCCCCGGGAGTGCCGCTCCGGCGACGTCGGTGGCCGCCACGGCACCGTGACCGCGCCGGCCTCGCTCGGGAGGCTCTTTCGGAGCCCTCGGCCTCCGAATCCGTCGCGTTGCTGCGCCTGGACGGCTTCGATGCTCGCCAAACCCGTCGGCACCGTTCATATACACATGAATTGTGAGTGAACGCGCATTTTTCTGGCATTTAACTGAAATGTGCCGAAATGTTAGTTTCGATCTAGTCCTCGCGGACACAAAACAGAGGCCTCCTAGCACGGAGAAGCGACTAAGAGTCGCCGACGTGCGAGTTAAATGCCAGAAAAATGTGTTCGGAATAACAATTGATCCCGTCGACAAGGCGCCCCAATCGCGGAGGTCTGGCGCGGTCGTGGAGGCGAGCATCGACGCCTCGACGGTTGCTCTTCAGAGGCCGAAAACAGGCGCCTGAAAAAGGAGAGAACGCGAGACTGATCACGCGCGCGGAAAAGCCCGAGGGGCGAATCTAAAGTGCCGAGGCGCTTGCTAATCACCCCAGCTAGGGCCACGGAGGCGCTCGCGGCAGGTCTCCGCGCGCGCGCTGGCCGGTGGCAGCTGATCTCGGGCGGCGGGCGGCGGGAATGGGCTCGGGCGGCACCTTTTGCCCTCAAAAGTCGTTCGAGAGTACCGGGTCGCGGCGGGAACGCGCCCATCCGCTCGATGGGTGTCAGGAGTCGATCGCCTGCGCCACGAGCGAGCACGGGAGTCGTCGCGATGGGAGTCGTAGCGGCGTGGCGCTGGGCTTCGAGAGAGCGACGTGGGCGCGGCGGCGCGGGCGGCCGGTGGGGCGCGTGAGGTCCGCACCTTCGCGACGGGCAGGCTCGATACGGCCGCTGGCCGGGGCGGCCGCTCGACCGGCCGCCGCGGTCGTTCCGGCGGCGGCGTCGGCGTCGGCGTCGCGAGCGAACTGGCTCGCATTCGACCAGCGACCCTCTTCACAGAACCCGGACTGCCACCTTAAACCCGTCTTGTAGTTGCCGCCGCTTCAGCTGCGCGGTGTTCGCAGACCCCTCGAGGCTGACAGCAGAGTCGGCTGGGGCTCTGCTACCTCTTGCCGCACACGCGGGCATTTCGCGAGACAATGCGTCGCCTCCGGCCGTCCATGCGCGCGGCCAACGCCTCGGAGGCGATCGTCGAGCGCATCATCGCCACGCACCTCCGTCCCGGCATCGCCAACCTCGCGCCTGGGACGGCGCACTGGTCGCCGCCCGAGCGCCTCGTCGAGGCGGCGCTGCGCGGCGACGGCGGGTATGGCGACATCCGCGGCGAGCCGGCGCTGCTGGCAGCGCTGCGCGAGGAGCACGGGCGCGAGCACGTCATGGTGACACCCGGCGCCAACCAGGCGTTCGTGCACGCGCTGCTGTCCACCTGTGACGTCGGCGACGAGGTGCTTCTCTGGCGGCCCTACTACTTTTCGCACCTGGTCGCGCTTCAGCTCCTCGGCCTTGTGCCTGTCTTCGCCGACTGCGACGAGCGAGGCGAGCCGACGCACGACCTACATCAATGCCATCAACAGTGCAGCCTCTGCTCTCCACTACGGGTAGGCCTGCCGACGCCCGGCGCCGTGCGCGCCTCCGCCTCGCGCCCCGGCGGCCGGCTGAGGGCGGTGGTGCTGGTCTCCCCGAGCAACCCGACCGGCGCCGTCTGCCCGGCTGAGCTCGTGCGAGAGCTGGGCGAGGCCTGCGCGCAGGTCCGGCGCGTACCTTCCTCCGTCGGGGCGTGCGGCTCCACGATGAGCCGTTCCGTGAGCGTTCCCGCAGGCGGGCGCGTGGCTGATCTCGGACGAGGCGCGAGATATGGGGAGATGTGGGGAGATATGGGGAGATATGGGCTGATCTCGGACGAGGCGCGGCGCGCACCTTCGCCGACGGCACTCCCCCCCGCTTTGGTTGACCTCGACGAGTGATATGATCCTCGCGGCGTACCAAGCACTTCGCCTACGGCGCGCCTGTTCACAGCTGGAGGTGTGAAGAGACGCTGTGAGATGACTCCTCGAGGCGTACGAGCACTTCACCTACGGCGCGGCGGAGCACGCCTCGGCGGCAGAGCTGTGCGAGGCGGGCGGAGGCGAGCTGCTCCTGTGCCTGCGCACCTTCTCAAAGTCGTACGGCCTGGCGGCGTGGAGGGTCGGCCACCTGTCCTACCCGCACCAGCTGCACGACGCGATGCTCAAGGCGCGAGATCACGCGAGATCGCCCGAGATCGCCCGAGATTGCACGACGCGATGCTCAAGGCGGTGGGACGCGCCGCCCACGCGCACGCGCGGGGGCTGGTGCAGCAATGGGTGGTGGATGTGTGGGCAGGTGCAGGACACCATCTCTCCCCATCTCTCCCCCTGTCTCCCCCTATCTCGGTGGACGTGTGGGCAGGTGCAGGACACGATGCCGACGCACGCGTGCCGCGCCTCGCAGCGACTCGCCCTCGCGGCGCTGGGAAGGGCGAGGCGAGGCGGGGGGGGTGGAGCTCACGCGAGATTCACGCGAGATTGGCCGCGAGAGTAGGCGCTGGAAGGGCTCGGCGAGGCGTGGGTGCGCGAGCAGGCGAGTGGGGAGATGAGGAGAGGTCTGAGGGAGATGTGCGGAGATCGGGTTCGCCAGCAGGCGAGTGCGGCGGCGCGCGAGCTCCCTCGAACCTCGCCGCGACACCCTCACCTCTTGGGCCACCCCACGGAGAGGTTGCGACGCTCGAGCCATATCTCCCCATGTCTCCCCATATCTCCCCATATCTCAGGTTGCGACACTCGAGCCGGCGCGGGCGATGTTGTGGGAGGCGCTGGCGCCGCTGCGCGGCGGGGGGGGCGCCTTGCAGCCCGCCGGCGCATTCTACTACTTTGTGAGGCTGCCCGGCTGCAGCTCGCGCGGCGCCCGGGTGCTGGGCGAGGGAGGCGAGGGCGGCGAGGCGGCGGAGGAGGAGCGCAGCGGCCTGCTGCACGCCTCGCGCCTTGCCGACTGCGAGGCGGAGGAGGAGGCGGTGCGGCGGCTCGCGGCGGAGCACGAGCTGCTCACGCTGCCTGGCTCGGCCTTTGGGCGGCCCGGCCACCTCCGCCTCTCGTACGGCCGCCTCGCGAGCGCGGAGGAGGCGGAGCCGATCGCTGAGAGGCTGCTTCGCGCCGCGGAGGCGCTCCGAGCGCGTTGGGGCGAGACCTGAGCGTGATGCGACACTCTTGAAGGAGCATGTAATCCATATACCATAAGTTTGGAGTCTCAGGAGTGCGGCCCGCGGCGGGGCATCACCTTCACCACCTTCCAATAAATAAATAAAACGCGGGTAAAACAGAGCACAGGGGGGCGCCTAGTTCCCCCGCCACACAGGGTCAACACGCGAGAAAAAAAGTATAAAATGCCGCGCGCACAGCGGGAGCGCAAGCACCGGATGGGGTGGGCGGTTGCGCCGAGGCGGCCGCAGCCGGGGCTGGCGGCGGCGGCGCCGCGGCGGGCCGCTGTCACGGATATTCGGGGTACCCCCGGAGGCGTGTGCCAGGCCCAGCGCCCAGGAGCAGGCAGCCTCTCACTGCCCCAGAACCCTCCCCGCCGAGGGGTGCCCCGGAGGAGAAAAAGCAAAGAAAGAAAGAAACAAAACAGACCAGCAAGGGAGGGATGGGAGGACGGCACGCCGCCACCACACACACAGGGATTTTAAGGAGAGGAGTGTGGTTTTTAAATAAATAAATAGGGCAGACAACCCCTGGCGGGATTAGGGCAGCAACCCGACGGGCAGACCGTGGTTTTTGAGGAGCGCAAGGAGTCCTGTGCGAATTTGTTTTCTTCACGGCCGGGCAGCTCGCGGAGGAGCAAAGGACGCCCGATTGGCGCTGCGCGCGGCCGGGCAAAAACAGACAACGCAAGGGAGGGATGGGAGGACGGCACGCCGCCACCACACACACACAGGGATTTTAAGGAGAGGAGTGAGAGATTTTTAAAGACCAACAAGAAATCACGACTCTCACAGTGATTTGGGCTCGGCAGCTTGTTAGCCCTCAGCCGAAGCTGGGGCCGGTCCCGTAGCCGAGAGAGCCCGCGCCGATGAGTTCGACGCGGTCGGGGGGGCCTGCGAAGAGGCCAGCGAGATGGCGATCGCTGTACTTCATGGTGCCCTCGGTGGGGCGGCTGACAAGCCAGAGGTCGATACTCTGGACGACCCATAGGATGCCACGAATGCCTGAAGGAGAGGGAGGCCTTGAGGAGTGTGGTTTTTGAATAAATAAATAAATATAGCCCACAACCCCTGGCGGGATTAGCCGACGGGCAAAGAAAGAAAGAAAGAAAACAGACAACCCAAGGGAGGGATGGGAGGACGGCACGCCGCCACCACACACGTCTGGGCAAGGAGTTGTCTAAATTTGTTTTGCACACGGCGCCCCGTTGATCGACCAAACAAGTCGGCGGCCGAGACTCCTGACTTGCCAAACCACCGGAGTCATGTACACCGACACGCCGGGCGGGCTTGCTCTCCGCCGACCGCCTGCCACCAAGCGCCCCACAAGGGCAGCCATCGAGCAGGGAAAGGTCAGGTATCAGCAGGTGCTCGATGAGGGCAACGGCAAGGCTGGCAAGCCAAAGGCGCGGGCGGGGCCAGCTGACATCTTCTCCAAGATCGTCCCGGTGACGCCGGGGTCGAAGAAGATTGCGAGCGCGGCGGCGAGCGTTGGCATCATGTTCCCCACCAACCCGCTCGTGGCCGGCGTCAAGACGGCCATCGCCGTCGCGCTCTTCGGTCTCTTGACGGCGCTCGCGCCATACCTGCGGACCAACATGCCCGTGTACGCCGACTCGGCGCAGATCCAGCTGTCGATGAAGTACCACAACCCTCACGTCTGCGTCAACGGCAAGCGCGTCCTCCCCAAGGTCGACGAGGGCTTCAGCCCTCTCGACTTGCTCGGCCGGCGGGCGCTCAAAGCGGACAAGGAGGAGGAGGAGGAGGAGGCGGCGGCGGCGGAGAGGGAGAAGGAGGGGGAGGGTGCGTCCACGTCGTACCTCACCCTCTACGACATCAAGGGCAAGCCCGACATCAAGGCCGCCCTCGAGCACTTTGTCCACGACTACTATTCCGTGCAGCTCTTTGTGCGCCCTCCCACCTCTTCTCTCACACCACACTCGCCCGGGCCCCACCATACTAAACTCCGTGCAGGGCAGCTCTCTTTGTGCGCCTCATCTCTTCTCTCTCACACACTCGCCCTGTAACACACGAGCACCGCTCTCCCCCCCGCCGCCCCCCCCCGCCGCCCCTCCCTTCTCAACGCACGGGTCCGTGCCGCGGCCTCTCCGCCTCGCCTCGCCGCTGCTGCCTCTTGTGTGCCTCATCCTCGCTGTCCCTCTGCCCCGCGCCTCGCAGGTGCGCGACGAGCCCCAGCTCGAGCTCTACCTCATCAAGTCCAAGATCATGATGTGGATCCCGCCCTTCCTCCTCCGCGCTGTCACCGCGGGCGCAACATCCGATGCCCTCCCCTCACCTCCCGCCCTCACCTCCCGCCCTCACCTCCCGCCCTTGCCTCCCGCCCTTACCTCCCGCCCTTACCTCCCGCCCTTACCTCCCGCCCTCACCTCCCGCCCTTGCCTCCCGCCCTTACCTCCCGCCCTTACCTCCCGCCCTTACCTCCCGCCCTCACCTCCCGCCCTTGCCTCCCGCCCTTACCTCCCGCCCTTACCTCCCGCCCTCGCCTCCCGCCCTCGCCTCCCGCCCTCACCTCCCGCCCTCACCTCCCGCCCTTACCTCCCGCCCTCACCTCCCGCCCTTGCCTCCCGCCCTTGCCTCCCGCCCTTACCTCCCGCCCTCGCCTCCCGCCCTTACCTCCCGCCCTTGCCTCCCGCCCTCTTACCTCCCGCCCTTGCCTCCCGCCCTTACCTCCCGCCCTTACCTCCCGCCCTTGCCTCCGGTCCCGCCCTCGCCTCCCGCCCTCTTACCTCCCGCCCTCGGCAAGAGCATCGATGCAGTCGAGAGCTCAGCGGCTGAAGACACGGAGTAGGCGAGCCGACACCCGCCCTAGCACCCTCCCTCCCTGGCGAGAGCGTCACTCGCATTGAGAGCGGATCGCTCGACGCCACCCGCACGCACACCGGCGCACAGGCGTCATGAGCTCGAGCCATATCTCCCCATATCTCCCCATATCTCCCCGGCACAGGCGTCATGAGCTCGAGCCTCGGCAAGATCATGATCGACGTCGACGAGGCGGACTTCTGCACCGAGGACGCGATCCTCGGGCAGCCGGAAGAGCTCCAGCGCATGCTCGGCGCCACCGTCTCTCACGATTTCTCTTGCTCGTTGCGCGCTCCATGCACCAGTCGCGGCGTGGCCGAACAGGCGCCGCCGTCTCTCACGACTTGCTCGTGGCGCTGGACCGGGTCGGAGACTTCGTCGCCTTCCGCGCGCTCGCAAACACCACCAACGCCACCGCCGCGGGCGCTGCGGACGAGGCGAGTCTAGCGCGCCGTGGAATGAGGTCGAGGCGAGATCGTCCGAGATCGTCCGAGGTTGTGGTTTGGGGTTGTAGGCCGCGTCGCCGTACGAGTCTGTCTACGGCGAGAGCGAGGCCGAGGTGGAGGAGAGACGTCGACTGGGCAACTTCGTCGAAAGAACGTCACCACGAGGCTGTGAACAGCGTCTCTTCACACCTCTAGCTGTGAACAGGCACCTTCGTCGCGATGACGTACGAGCACGAGGCGGAGGCGATCAACTACACCAAGGAGGAGTACGTCGGTCCCGCCCGCTCCTTCCACTGGCAGGCGTGTGCTCCCATCTCCCCACATCTCCCCACATCTCCCCACATCTCCCCACATCTCCCCACATCTCCCCGCATCCGCCACACATCTCCCAACATCTCCTCGCATCTCCCCGCGCCTTGCACTGGGAGGCGTGTGCTCCCGTCTCCCCACAGGTCCG